GCAGCATAGCATGCACATTCGAGGAGCCTGTCCGGACTGATTCACCCCTACAAATCGCACAGCTCCTTTAGGATAACGCATATACCGTAGGCTTTCTTGAACTTGATAGTGATGATAGATGGGTTTATGTTCTCGTGGCTGTGAAAGCCCGGACATGTCCTACTGTTGGGGAGAAATTTTCCAAAATACGCCACCCCAAAGCTTCCTCCCCTGGTAACGACCCATCCCCCCACCTTTCCCACTTCCAATCATACCACTCATCTTCCTCAGTTCTCCCCTAACTTCCCACGTTATTTTTTCCCAAAAATTCTCTAATTTAAAGTTTTCGCCCAAAAAATTAGTGTCGAGTTGGAGCAAGGGGCGTGGGGTGGTACGACACACGTAAATGGGAGACCGAGAAATTCGACAAGTAAGCAGTCAAAAACACTTTTCTCGAGGCAAACACGACCTTCTAGACCTTCCAGCGACCAAATAAGACCCTCCCTAGGATCCCCAATGTACAAGGTGCCCTGGTGAGAGCAATGATAAAGGGCTTGTCCCTGATTGTAGAGAAATTCTTGGTTCTTCTTATGATCTAGCCATCTCATGGATCGCATTAATTTCACTGTACATGCCATGAGGATCCCCCTTGCCACCTGTTGTGAAAACTATGGGCAACGCAATCACAAACCTGTAACGTTTGCCACTGTTCACGTCCAAATTGTCGATGTTGGAAAGAGCTCACCACCAACGTTCGCGTCATTTCATTAAGTTTGCCCTAAAGCAAGTCATACCCACTTAACAACTTCACGAACATTTCAAGGACTTACAATAACTCACAGATATTGCATTCACTTGGATAGCATCAATAATGAACTCTTCCAAGTGATCATCAGGCGATAAGTCCAACTCTTCCGCAAGGGTATCAAGTTGGATCACCTAAACTATCTCAACTAATTCGTCGGAACTGGAGAAAGTGACACTCTCAATTCTTACATTGTTATTTTCTGCAATGCTCATCAAAGTGAGAAGTCGGATCTTCTTCAGTAATACAGATTCCTCAACCTGTAAGTAACATGAAGCCTTAGTTATGATCAGTGATTACTCCTCCCTTGTGGCGGATTCACGTGATTTGCAGAGTTTCCACATTCGCGAAGTATGCAGGCGCCCGATGGTAGTGTTCAGACTTCGCGCGTGTCGACGCGCTACAATCAGTTTCAACACCACTCCAAACTTATACACGCGAATGCAGCCGCAGGCGAGAATCGATCTACCTCGGCCGCCTGTTTTCTAAAAGAGTATGAGATAACATGAGTGCAAGCCCCGCCTTCACACAATCTAGAACTCTCTTATTCTTTTATACCCTTGCGCCCTAGAAGCCAGGGCCGATCGATGTCATACTGCGCGATCAAGCAGCGCGTGCCTTCCTGTTCCCCTATACTCTCTCGATATCCAAGCGGCCGGCGCCGATCGATTCCCGTTGGTGGCTAGGTTCGCGTATATAGCATTGGGGGGCTACAGCAGTGGCAGGACGTCGTAGCGCGTCATCGCGATGTCTCACGCTGCCTAACAGTTTAACTAACCTTAAGTTTGTCGCCAACAAATTCAGGATGAGCTTTGACAAAGGCACGGTAGTCTTTCAGCGTTCCAGAGATGAACAGTTCTAGAGCCGAGTACATCAAGGGATCAGACTAAAAAGATAGTATTGGAAGGATAATGCTGGATCATTGATCAGCCTTGATCTTGTCATACGGCTCAAAGGCATTATACGCCTCGTTGGCTGCGGACGCGGGGACGTTCCAGGAGGGTTGGCGCCAGCCCATCTTCCACCTGTCGCCTGCCCCCTCAACGACTAGTGGAGAACAGGCAGGCGCCAGCCCCCTTGACAAGGCCCAGCATCCGTAGCGAATAAGAATAGACGTGGAATCCCGTTTAAGCCCACGATTTCTGATTCATTTTGACCGGAATGTAAGGTAAGTACTTCCTGTGATAATTACTCTACTACTCTTCTGTCGCTCTATTTGACAAAATAAAGGCTGTATATAAGTAAATGTACCTTTTTCAAAGCTTTAACAGCACAGAGGCGTTGAAGATGATCAATCAGGTCAAAGGGAAAAAAGGCCGACTCGCTCATGGCCGTGTACAGATCTAAAATAAATGCCGCCTAAAGATGCCAAAAAAGAGGAAAGCAAAGGAGAGCCAGGGGTTTCTCTACAAGCATAGACAAGCCCTATGTCGTTGGCTCCTCACCTTGTACATTTGGGGATCCTAGAAACGGTCTTAGTTGGTTCGCTGGACAGTCTGGAAGGTCGTGTTTGGCTCGACAAAGGGTTTTTGGCAGCTGCTTACCTTGTCCGAATTTGCTCGTCTCACCATTTACGTGCGTGTCATACCACCTCACGCCCTTGCTCCGAACTCGACACCTAATTTTTTGGGCGAAAAACTCTTAAATTAGAGAAGTATTTGGGAAAACTAACGTGGAAGTTACGGATGAATTGAGAAGATCAGATGAGTGACTATGACTTGGAAGTGGGAAAGGTGGAGGGATGGGGTTCGTTACCAGGTAGGAAGCTTTGGACGTGGCGTATTTTGGAAAAATTTCTACCCGAACAGCAGGACAGTCGGCTGTCATCAGCCACGAGAACATTAAACCCATCTATTCATTACTATCGATAGCTTCAAGAAAAGCTTGCGTATATGCGTTATCCGTAAAGGCAGCTGTGTGCGATTATGTTAGGGTGAATCCAGTTCCGGGACAGGCCTCCACTCGAATGCGCTTGCTATGCCCATTTGTCGTTTTAGCTGTTCAAGCGATTTGTTCTTTCCTGACTCTTGCACCCTAATGCGTGGGACTGGTCGCTAGTTGCCTTAATCTTGGGGAACCGGGTTGCCCCGGTTTGATAGTTTCTGGAATGAGACCAGTGCCGATAATGAATATCAAAGTGCGTACACTTGCCTATATCGCTGCTACGAATTAAAGGCGTAGTGGACCAGGTGTACGAGCGGAGGGGGGGGGGGGGAGGAAGGGGATTTCGCCCCTTTTCGCTAGTATCATTTGCTATCCATGTTAATTAACTAGGTAACGTATGCCGAGACCTGTGCGAGACTTTTTGAACAGCTGCAGGTGATATAGTGAGCCCATATAGTTTACAGGAATGCAGGTGGTATATGTGAGCCTCTATAGTTACAGGATCTACAGGGATCTACAGTTCTTCACATGGCAGGCTGTCCAAGCTTCGCTGCGTAGCATACGGTGCCCCATCCAGGTGAACTGCGCTCGCAATACAGTCATGGTCCTGCAAACGATAGGGCTCATGAAGCCAAGGCGGCCTTGTTCTCCAACATTAATGCCATCTTAGCCTTGCTTAACTGCTGGGAAATTTGCCCTGACAGCATCCACAGCCCATTCCTCCGCCTCATCATTTTCGGGGTTATAGTTGTAAGTCTTAAGTGTACGCATCGTGAGCGAAGGGGTCCTTCTCCCTTGTATGCTTAAATTCCTTGTCCACGGCGCTGTCTATTCTGTTATAACTACCCATATGTTTTAGAAACAGGACTTGCAGACGTTTGGCTGCAAACTTGAAGCAGTCCCATGCGAATATTCACAGCATCAACCAACAAATCGACAGCTTTGCCTAGATAGATTTATCCCTTTCTCGGTTATCTTTTGGGTGTTGAACAGCAGCCACTTCACTAGAGGGGCTTTGTTCCGTTGTTGTGTACCACTTTGTGAGTTGCATGTCCATCGGGTTAGAACTGTTCAAAATTTCTGAGGTTCCTTTGAAAAGCAGGATACGCTTGCAGTTTGGTAGGGAATTCTGTACGTTTTCTTCCGGTTTTCTCTATTATATAGAATTACGAAGGCCATGTTGGATCTATAATTGTTGAACAGTTGTTTTATAAATTGTTACTTACAGAAGAGATGTCTTAAGTTGGTGTACATCAGCACTACACGCATTGCGTTCCCAGTGAGTGATTCGTCAAGTAATTGCCTCGTTTTCTGAAATACAGGGAGCCCTCTTGTCTCAAGCATATTTGTGGCGAGTAAGCTCTAGGACTGGCAATATGCAAAAATATCGAAAGCAGGATGTTACTGGTTGTTACGAAACGTTACGCCCATCTGTCGCGCGACCATCGCGAAGGGAACCGCGTCGTATACCTCCGAAATTGGATCTAAAATGCCTTTGAGGCAATATCAACAAAAAATTTAAACCAATAAAAGGATAAAGGATAAAGTCTTCGCCGTTGATCAATCCCTTTGTGGGATGCGGCACGCATTCTACTTCCATTCAGAATCGTAGTGGCTTATTGAATGCGATGTGGCCTATACAATGACTTGCGGTGGCCAGCCGATGTACAAGTCAGTGTTTTATCCTCCCAGACGAATCTGGTACCAATTTACCGAGGGTAGAAGGCTTGGTTGGCCTAAGCGGGAGTCGATCGGGATTTGCCCCGGGACCGCGCGAGCGATGAGCGCGATACTTGTCAGTACACCACCTCGTGCCCACAAACAAAATACATAACCCAACAAAATCACAAAGTGGCAACATATATTACGCAGATTAGACCCTAATTCAGTCAAATTTAGTCAAAGAAAGAAACCGTTTAAAATTCACTTGTGTCAAAAGTACCCTCTCCAGAAAACCAAGATTATTTTCGGATCAGCTTAATAGTGCCATAGTCAGTGACAGGTGAAGTCTTTGGGATGTTCTATGGACAAATTAGGCTCAGCTCCTTCATCGAAGCACTTTTCTGTTCTTGTTAGTTTCTCACATGGTGTTCCATGGCCACAGTTACCTCACACTTTCCAAATTTTCACGCATAGCAAGCGGATGATCCTTCCTGGATTCCCCTTTCCCTGTTTAAAGAAGCTGGTACTACCGGCTCGCCACATGTTCTCTCGCACTTTTCGAGCTTAGCGAGCGTTGTTCCTTTACTCTATGCGCCGAAGGGCATCGCATCTAGAAAAGTTTAGTCACTTAACATGGTGGACGATTACCTCCATGGACAAGCCGCTTCACTGAAAACCCTGATGGAATCTTCCGCTTTTCCAACAGCTCATAACACGGCTTAGTCTTGCCACACCCCACTACAATACAACAGCCTAAGCAATGAGAAAATCACTCACTTGAATCCTTGGATGAGCGGCAAATCCGCGATATAAGTTTGATAAAACATGGACTGCGTGACCTGCCTGAAATAAGAAACACTATCTCACTGGAGTGTCGATACAACAGCACAAAGTAAATTACGTTGCTGTTCCATCCGAGTCCTTTGAAATGGGCTGGTGTAATCGCATTACAAAACGCACTGACCACAGTCAATGCTTTCTCAGCTGGTACCAGCACCATGAGTGAACAAATAGAATTGAGGATGAAATCAACCTGAAGGGAAGGGTTAAAGCTATCCAGAATTCCAAGAGAAATGCATGTTGCAATGCAACATTACCCACCTCAACAGGATGGGGACAAGCCCCCATTACTGTAAGCTGTGAGCAAATATCGATCAAATTCTCCGATACATCGGGTGATCCTGAATAGGTACTACAAGCAAATAGACAAATAAAAATTTAATCTTCACACCTTTTGGATCCAACTTGGCTTTGCCAACGTTGTTGAGGTACTCGCGGAGTTGTTGAAGCTGCTCGCCATCGTCTATGAAAGCGAAGACGGGAAGAATCTTATGATCCGCCATCGTTCTCCTTCAAGCGCAAGAACCATCAAGGATTTTGGATGAAATTAGAGAAACATATGAACAGTAAGCACGGCATACACAACAACATCTATAACACAGAACATCGCTACTGAAAACATCGTGATCTGAATATTGCCTAAAACAAACAAGCTACAAAAGTTCACTGAAAAATGGTCCAAACTATCTAGAAAATCTTAAACCCCTCGATATTGCTGATTTTAATATTTCTTCGAAGATTATTAGGTGGAAGTGTAAGATTCGTCTCCCACCTAGGCGCGCGGCAGTTTTTACCACCCCTACGGGAACCTCCCTTGCAGGAAAAATTACAAACACCTTACCCAAACGGCTTTTAGTACCATATGCAATGACCGTCACTAGGCTTACTGCTATTCCAAGGGTGATAATGGGTAGGCTATGCAGTCCTTTCTAAAGAGAAGGATACCTTAACAGCAACAAGTGATATGACTCCCTAACAGGCTAGTCTCTATAATTCTGAGATAACGTTATTTCAGCTCGCTGACAAAACAGCTAAGAATCGATATACCTGTAAAATTTTAGGGTGTTCTCAGTTCCTCAACGTTTGTTGCTTAGGGAATTCTTATTTTTTTACATATTTGAATCAATTTTCAGTAAGCTTCCGAACCTACAGCACTAGATCCTGACAACACTCCGAGACAGCACAATATTACTACTGAAACGTTACGTTCAGGATACTTTTCACTTAAAACCAGCATACAGGAGTCATATCAAGGGAGTGGTTAAATGTCCCATAGTTCTTCTAGGTTACCACTAAGACGGAGGCTCTGATGATGATGGAGTGATTAGGAAGTTAGCAAGAAGAAAGAAAACAGACAAGTATGTGGAATGCTCCTAAATCGTTAAGAAAAATGATGAAAATGCCAGATGTCTAGTATAGGAAGTGAAGTGCGAAAGAAAGCGAAACAGAAGGCAACGAGGCTAGTTTTCTACAAAAACGACTAGGGGTCAGGCAACGCTCAGACTCCGCGAAGGCAGCGCTTCGGTCGCAAAGTCTGAACGCGGCCTTACTAGAGGATTCTGGCATCCAAGGAATGATTGATAAATCCCCTTAAATAGCAATCGGTCAAGACTGCCTGCCAGACAATTAGAAGAGATATTACGACAGTCATGCGTGAAAGGGTGGAAATGGTAAATGCTTCCTTCTGGGCACGAATTCTACATCCATTCAGAACCATATTGGCTCCCTCGATGCACTATGGCTTATAGAATAATTTGTGGGGCCAGACAATGGTTAGTCAGTGGTATTTTCTTCCCAAGCGAATCAAGTACCAATTTGCTGCTCTCGCAGGGGGTGAGCGTGGTGGCTGGACAGGAGCTGATCTTGGATTTGAACAGGGAGCGCGCGTGATAAGCGTGCCTTTTTCCGCTACACCACCTCCGATGGTCATCACTAGCTAATGAATTTCTAGGTTATGCGCGAGTTACATGTACAGGTCAGGGGAGCATGCAAAAACTGATCCAAGTGACTACAAAAGGCATAGCCACCAACATGAAAGAAGTCGGACCTGCTTTCGTTTTATAGTGATCCTTCCGATCGATGTCACACTTCCTGACTGAAGTTGCTTTAATTGGTTATTCGCTCTTCGTAATCGGTATTCAATGAGAAGTAGATCGGATGGCTGGTAGCGTGTCGCTGCTTCACGGAATTCAGTCTGCACCTGCTGACGTATTGAAGGATCAAGTGGGCGGACTGCACGAAGAAAGTCTCGATATGTTTTAAGTACAAGAAGCTGTAGTTTAGAGTGAGCTCGACCAGCACTCATGTACTCGGCGCGACCGCCTAAATCGAAAGAAAGCAATCTATTTCAGTAAGGTTGAGAGAACAGATGAAAACGCGGACAATCAATTCGAACTGGCAATCACAGGTATGTCTAGAGCGAATCACAGGTACTGTGTAGAGCGAATTAGAAGGGGATCCAGACTTATAGAGTTTGGAAGAGTTAGCCTTATGAAGGAACACTTGAGAATAGAAACATCGCTAATATTATTATGTGATGGAATAACCTGTACCACCCCTTCCTACTACAGGCGCTCGCTGCGCTCTAAGAAAGAAAGCCCGGGCGGGCTCCGCTCGAACTCAGGTACCCTGAAGCTGGCAGGCGGTCCATCACTTGCGCCACTCTAATGCCGCTTGAAGCCTATCCACACACTCGAAAGTATGTCCGCGGCTCACTAACAAGGGAATGGTTTGAACTTCCCATGGAACTTTGAATGGAGACCTAGGTACATCGATAGAGTTTCGAATGCTGATTACGAATATGCAGATTAAAAGTGCTACGGGGACCTCCCAGACGAGATCTGGGTGGTCAAAGTTTGCGAAAAGCCAGTTTTGGCTCGTAAGCGCTGCTGATGCTACCTCGGCAGTGCCACTGTGGCCATAATCTCGTGGTAATGGTCTGTCGGCTTCAAGTCAAAAACCGCATGCGGGTCTGCATCCGGTTGGCGCGAAAATTCTTGCTTCGCTCCCTATAAGAGCTTCAACTCTAATTTTCGAAATTCTTCCGAATTTACGGCCTAGCAGGGCAAGTAGATCAAGTACATCAAGTATATGACGTACTCGATCTTGTAGCCGTCAAAATGTATGGATGTTGTCGTATCTGACCTTCTGCTGAGCATGTTTACCCATGCCGACACCTCGAAGTTTTGCGCAGAAATCTGCCCAATTTGGCCAGACGAGCGTTTTTTCGTGCGGATGTGATAGCGTTCAAGGGGGCTAATCTCCCGATGAACGAGTTTTCTCGCTAACCAGTTTGAATTCTCGGATGGGTAACCAGTTCATAGAGGGAGATATGACCCCAAACTGCCTAGGCATCGATCAGCAGCGCTTACTAGCCAAAACTGCTTTTCGCAAACTACCACCGATGCCGTACTGGGAGTCCCCGTAACGGAGATTTTTGAATGCTGCATCATTCGTAATGCAGCTTCCGAGGCTCTATCCGATGTAGCCCTAAGGTCTCCATTCAATACTCCCATGGGAAGTTCAAAGCCATAATCCCTTGTAAGAGAAGAGACTCCAGCTACGCTTCAAGGCGGCCCTTGGTGGTCAGAGAGCAACGAAATGTGGTAAGAACCTATGAATACAAATGCATAGAGAACGACGCTAGCCTGCAGCAAGGGCAGGAACGCTGGGGCGAAGCAAGAGCCGGGAAGGGGGGCTGTAGAGATGCTAATTGCGAAACGGCGTTTCATGGAGTACTGCAAAGCAACGTAATAGCAGCGTAACTTTTTACATCGATAAACCAGTAACTTTCATCCGTTCTTTCGAACTCCTTTTTTTCAAGCTCATGTGAGATACGTCTAGTTCATGTACAAAGAGGCGCTCCGATACCACTAGAACATGAAATTTATGCCAAATAGACCACAAAAAGCTGAGAGAAAAATATGTGAAAAGTGTCACGCAGTCTGGAACGCGTTAGGAGCTATGGCTGAGAAAGAATAAGCATGGAAGTCTGATTTCAATAATAAGGACAGACCGAAAATGAACATGCTGTGAGACTCTACAAAATGTTGTAGGTTCAAAAAGCCAGCAGTGCACACCTCCCCAGGGGAAAGAGAAAAGACGAAACAGTCCAGCAAACAATAATGAAACAAATAAAAAAACAGAAATATTGCGACGGTAAAACGTCGTTTCAGCACCGGTAAATAACGCGCCAAACGAAACAAGTTTATTTCAGCAAAACGAATAAGTAGGACCCGTCGATATTGATCAACAAGAAGAGATAAGCAAAATGCGAAAATAAAACCTATCGGAAAATGAATGAACTAACGAACGCGAGCAATACCATTGCTAACAAGTAAATTTCTACTTAAATGGAACAAATGAAACAAGTGAACAATCAACAATTAACAAAAACATTGAAGTTAAAAATTTGATAAAAACGTGACTCAAACAAATCTGCTCGGCTATCCTATTACTGCACAAGAAAATGACGTCTAGTACATAACTATATAAAAACTTACCTTACACCCATTGCACTAATTGAAACTTCCTCTTACCCCAACACACTAAAGTGAGATCTGGTGCTTTAGGAAGGATCACCTGCTCGAGAACAAGTGGGGCCGCGCTGTCGACGGTCTGAAAAGAACTATTATTGGAAACAGGATACCAGCTATGGCAGAAAATTCGCTGATTTAGAAACAGACCTTTTCTCCGTTTATTTTGAAAGCACCTTTCGTCATCAATGCTGAACCCTTCACATTGTCTGTTCGAGTCCGATCGGCCAGATCCCCAAGAGTTTTGACTTCACTACGAACCACTTTCACTGTGCTGCCAAACAACGACAACAATTCAGCTCTGCTTAGAGAGCGAACATCCTCCATTGAGCCTTAAATCAGGAAGAATAAGTGTACGTAACGTAGTGAAAGGTAAGTCTGGGTCCAACCAAGATACGGCGGCGATTTGGAGGAGAATTTCTGAGATTTTCACATGTTCCACAAGGCCTTCCAAGATACAAGCAGCGTAATGAAAAACAAGAAGGGGAAAACAGTACGATCAAACTTACTACAGTGTCCCACGGGCATAAAGTTTATGAGACTGTAAAACGAACCTTGAAAGAGCGCTCTAGAACACCGTTGAGCCGTA